CAAAATGCCTCGTGCTAGGTAGGGATGAGAATATAAATATAAGGATCACTTCCATGGGCGATGTGGGATGTCACAATCCACCCCCCTTAAGGGCCCGACGTCCTCGTCAACACACCACGACCAAGGTTAGGCTCTGATACCAAATTATCACATCCCGCCCCGGGGTGGATCACTTCCTGGGCCCGCTCCACCACCGTAGCACGATATTGTCCGCTTTGGGCCCCGACCACGCCCTCACGGTTTTGTTTCTGGGAACTCACACGAGAACTTCTCGATGGGTCACCCATCCTGGGAATGCTCTCGTGCGTTACTCGCTTAACTTCGGAGTTCCGATGGAACCCGAAGCCAGTAAGCTCCCAAAAGGCCTCGTGTTAGGTAGGGATGATAATATATATATAAAGATCACTACCCTGGACAATGTGGGATGTCACAAAAATTGGGTAACTATAAAAGTTAAGGAGGGTAATCGGCTAAAATTAAAGTTCAGGCAAATTGGCATCTCTATGCAAGTCTAGATGGCAAATTCGGTAATCAATGTTTCAAAAAAAAAAAATTGATAATCATTGATGTATGTATGTATGTATGTATGTATGTATGTATTTGTATATATATATATAGAGAGAGAGAGAGAGAGATTTGACAATTAATCATTGTATTATTTATACTTAGTCGTTGAGTGTGGAGTAAAATATGGATTCTAATGAAATCTCAGCCATTCAAGTCCACTCATTGTTTCTCTATTTATGCTTGATTTTCTTTTTCTTGAAACAACCTGCAGAATTAAAAAAAAAAATGTAAACCTGGGTGCATTCAAGAGGGGTGAGCTAGGGCTGGCTGTAGATTTGAACAAATTAGAGAAAAAAAAAACGGAGTTTCAAAGCCAATCATACTGGTTTAATTGGTCGTATTAATTTCAAGAAAAAATTATGAAAATTAAGTAAATTTTCTGTATGCATGTCAACACAAATCATGAGTTCGTCGTATCGTTCTTCGATCATAGAGAACATCAGCAAGCCCCTTAAAATTGACTAGTTAAACTCCACAAGATGCTTGCACCGCAAATCATGGTCTTCGTTCCGTGATCGAAGCAGTATATAAATATATTTTTTTCGTATGATGAACGCAGTGTATATTTTAACTAAACAACACCGAACTCGTTTTGTTTTTCTGTTCTTGGAGTGTTCCTCTCGTCACTACAAAATCTAATTACGTACATAAAGTATGATTATATGGTTAATAATATCTTCCATGATTCGATTACGAAAGAGAGAGAGATGTTGAAGTAACCAATCGGCAAATGACATGCTAGGGTCTCCATGAGTGTTTGTTCCCCAGATTTTAATTAAAATAAAGCAAGTCACAAAGACCAGAAAATTTTGTGGGCAGAAAAGTGCAATGCAAGCTCAAGTAAGATATGTTAGGATATTACTATTTTTATTATTAGAGGAATTACGGGCACCACATTAAATTTATCATAAACAAAGTTATACATATTTCTAAACAAAATAGGACTCGTATATGAACTGCGAGTTATCTAACGTAATCATTGTTGGTGAGATCTATATTGTCATTGTGATACTATGATTAATCATGCTTAACATTTGGATTAGTTCAAAACTTAAAATGCCAAGTAATTAACTCAGGAGCATGATTTATCAAGTGTCAAGCATTGGCCCACACCCACCATAGCATGCCTAAGATACGAAGAATTTGTAGACTTTCGGAAAAGATGAGTAATCCGAACTTCATGTTCTTGATTTCAGTATCCAACTACTGTGAATGGAAACACTTTGAGAGTTTAAAAATTAGAAAACTAGATTTTAATTCTTAAATAAGATGAAATTTAGTAAAATGTATTATACAAGATTAAAATTTGATTTTAGTCTCTAGACTCTATTTAATGCTAACATATGTATTGAATGTCTCTCTTTTTTATTTATAATTTATGGTGTTCATAAATTAAATTTTATGAAAATATTATGAATTTGAATTCTTGATATTTTATATAAGAAAATATTTTTGTAGAGATTTTTCGGTACACTTATGTTAGTATACAATGTTTTGGTACGAACATTTCGGTACACTAGTTTAGTATAATATATTTAGGTACCAACATGTCGGTTTCATATATATAGGTACTCAATTTTTCGGTACATTTCTATTTTTGCATATTGTCTTATGTGTCACTAATTCACTATAATATATTTAGGTACAGACATTTCAGTAAACTAATTTAGTAAAATATATAGTGTTACAGACATTTAGTAGGTACACTAATTAGGGAAGTAAAATAAAATTAATGAATTAAAATGTGTACAATAATAAAGGACAAATCGGATTAATAGTTCCCGAGGTGATAGGGTATTCGGAAGATTGCTCATGTGATAATAAAATTGTGATTTAAACCCTTATGGTGAAGATTATTAACAAAATTAACCCAAAAAACAAACTTCTGTTAAACTCAGTTAAGTATAAGGATAAAAATGTCCAACCACACTCTTTATTTCTGCTAGCCTTCTCTTCCTCTCTCTGTGTCTGTAATTATACCTCCACGGTGCAATGCAAGGCCACGATCGGATCAACACGTGTCTCCTCGCGAGCTGATCGTCGAGGTCTTCCGGCGGCTTGACTCCAAGCCTAGCCGTGATGCCTGCTCCCTCGTCTGCAAGCGCTAGCTCGCCCTCGAGTGCCTCAGCAGCACCGCCCTCTGCATCGGCACCACCGGCAGGCCGGAAGGAAAGAAGAGAGTGACGACAAATGACGACAGAAGAATTACAAGTTTATGAAAAATTGCTTGCAGGCAGTGGCAGTGGCTGGCTGACTGCTTTTCTTCTTCTTCTTCGTCTCAGCGGAAGCAATTACCAAACCGGAGCATGAGATGAGATGAGAGAGATTCACCGATTCAGCAGCAGCAGCTTAAGTCTTGGTTTATTTTTTTGGGAACAATTAACTTTTTGGGTAAACTACAAAAAACTACCTCAACTATTGGGATCACGACAGTTTCATACCTCATCGTTTAAAATTGACAATGTCATACCGCATCTTACGAATTTGTGACAATATCATACTTCCATCAATTTTTTTGTTAATTTTTCTGTTAAGTGCTGACGTGGTAAGAGACATGAACCACTCACTAATCCAGCTAGATTAAAAAATAATTAAATATTAAAAATCTAAGAATAAAAAAACAAAACAAAAAGATTTCCTAGGGGTGCAGCATCCCCTTTCCTTCACTCGCACGGCATCTCCTTTCCTTCAACCGCACCAATTTCAATTCTTCTTCCCTTTTCCATCACTTGCACCAATTTCAATTCTGGGCCGAAACTAGATTTGTCACTTTTTTTTTTCTTCCTTTTTCTTCTTCTTCTTCTTCTTGAGACAAAACTGGGTATGAATTTTTTTTTTTGTTGTTGTTTCTGGGTTGCAGCTTTTTCTTCTTCTTCTTCTCCTGGGCCGAAACTAAATTTGTCACTTTTTTTTTTTTTTCCTTTTTCTTCTTCTTCTTCTTGAGACGAAACTGGGTATGAATTTTTTTTTTTGTTGTTGTTTCTAGGTTGCAGGTAGAGGGAAAAGGGGACGAAGATGAAGATGGGGAGGAGACCGAGAGGGTTCTTCTTCTTCTTGGGCCGAAACTGGGTTCGAATTTTTTTTTTTTTCTGGGTTGCAGGTAAAGGAAGAAGGGGAAGAAGATGAAGATAGGGGAGGAGAGATGAGTGCGCGTTGGGTTAGGGGGGACGAATTGGGTTGGATTGGGGTTTTTTTTTTGTTCTTTTCTCCTTCTTCTTATTCTTCCGTATGAGGGGGTGTTTTAATTTTTTCTTCTTCTTCTTCTTCTTCCTTCTTTTGGGTTGTAGTTTGGATTTTTTTTTGTTTTGTTTTTTTTTTTTCTCCTCCTCCTCCTCTTCTTCCTTTTCGCCTCCTTCTTCTTCTTCCGCGGGCAGGCCGGGAAGGGGGTTGAGTTGATGGGTTTTCTTCTTCCTCTTCCTGCTTCTCCTTCTTCTTCTCCTCCTTCTTCCTCCTTCTTCTTCTTCTTCTTCTTCTTCTTCTTCTTCCTTCTTCTGGGTTTTTTTTTTTCCTCCTCCTCTTCTTCCTCCTTCTTCTTCTTCTTCTTCGGTTCTCCCTCCTTCTCCTGGGGGGGGGTTGGGCTTTTAATTTTTTTTTTTTTTTGTTAAAGATTAAGCAGGAAGAAAATGAAGATGGGGAAGAGAGAGAGAGGGGAAGGGAAGGGACGACTAAGGGTTTTTTTTTTTTTACTTTTATTTATTATTTTAATATTTAAAAAATATTAAATATATTTTTTTAGTTTTTAATAATTTTTTATTAATTTTTTAATAGAAAGTGATCCATATCTCTTGCCACATCAGCACTTAACAGAAAAACTAATAGAAAAATTGACGGAGGTATGACATTGTCACCAATTTGTAAGACGTGGTATGATATTGTTAATTTTAAAAGATGAGGTATGAAACTGTCGTGACTCCAATAGTTAAGGTAGTTTTTTGTACTTTACCCTAACTTTTTTATATTTTGTTTGTTACTCTGGTTTACTCTTATACAATACAAAAGAAAAACAAACGTCATAATGCCCTCCATATATTTATGAGTTTTACAGAGCTTACGATGGACTGGTGACTCTCAGCAGTACAGAGTGAAGAAGGCACAACAAAAGACAGAAAGAGGGAAGATAAAAGAAGGCTGAAAAGAAAGAGTGGTTGGACACTTTTATCCTTATATTTAATTGAGGTTTAATAGAAATCTCACATTTGGGTTAAATTTGCTAATAACCTTCACCGTAAGGGTTTAAATTCTAATTTTTTTTACCACAAGGGCAATTTTCTGAATACCTTATCACCACGGGGACCATGAATCCAATTTGGCCTAATAATAAATTTTAATTTTAATGCAATGACATTAAATAAGATATCTATTAAATATTAAAACAAAAATATAATATGAATTTGAATTAAGTACACATTAGAGAACTAAAATCAATATTCAATCTAACAATAAATTTTTATTGAACTTTGATCTTCTTGAATGATTAAAGTTCAAAAACCCCGTTTAAAAATATATATAACAAGGAGAGATAGAGAGCATTTCCAATCAATTGCTCTTAAGTACAGGAGACCACAAGCTAGCTAGGGTTACTTCCGTAATAGTATACGTAACTTACAACATGCGGTAGAGTTTTTCAGTATGCGCATAACACATGACAGTAAGTTATATGTACTTATAAAATTAGAGGGACATTTGAAAAAAAAAATAATAATAAAATAAAAAATAAAAAATATCTCCTCTTATCATATAATGATATGTGATATACAACCCCATATTCTGAACACACTGAAAAATTTCTCCTATCTGGATGGATTATATTTTAGGGTGGGTTTTACTAAAATACCATGTCATTGACTGGATGCAGACTAAAAGCTCCCATATAAAATCCCACACTTCTTTATAAACCCCACAAGCATCTCAAGCATTACCACTTCTTCTCTTCTCCACATAAGATGGCCAAACTTCAAACAAATCTGCAGCATGATGTAGTGAAACCCTACAATTCCAGAGGATATTATCCTCACAAAGCCAAAGGGATATCCTTATTAGCCTTTTTCTTCTCTATATTTATTTATATTTGCATCTTCTATTTTTTTAACCTCTCCCTTTCAACTCTCTTTAAGAACTCCAAGTTTTGGTTTGCCATATCCAACACCCTCATCCTCATCATCGCCGCCGACTACGGCGCATTCTCTTCGGCCTCCAAAGACCAACAAGACCATCTTTACCAAGAGTACATGATGCATAGCCAAGCTCGAAGTGCTTCCTCATTTGTTTCTCAATACCCTCAAATTGTCAACAAAAGCAGTCCAAGGCAATTAGAGGCGGGAAACAATATGAAAACAAAGATTGAAGAAGTAATCCTCGTTGCTCAAAATACAGAAGTTATCCAAGAAAAGAAGGTAATCCACGTATCAAAAGGCGATGATCAGAATAAAGGTTGTGGAACTGGCAGAGAAAATGTTCAGGCAAAAACTTATCAGCGAAGTAAGTCTGCAAAAGCGAAGGGAGGGATGATCAATGAGAGCAAGAACACTTTAAGGAGGTCAGAGACAACTGATCAGAAGCGCAAACAAACTGCTGATGAAGACAATGAATTTTCGACCATGTCGGATGAAGAACTGAACAGAAGAGTTGAAGAGTTTATTCAGAGGTTTAATAGACAAATTAGGCTTCAATCAGCAGCTACAACCTTCCCCTAAGTCTAGAAATTGTTCCATGCATATATGGAATATCAAAGAGAGTATAAGTAGATCTTCCATAATTTTGCTGCCTTCTTTCTTCAACTCTTTTTTTTCTCTTTCGTTCGTCTGTCAATAATATGTAAATGCTTTGGACTTTAGTATGAATATATATGTATTTACTTTTGGTCTCATATCTCTTGCTTCATACGTTTTTATTTTTGTTTCTCTCATCACATGACTGTATCCATGTAATCTTCTAATGAGATAATTAAAAAAACTAGTATGAAACAACGGACTTATATAAATAAATCACTTGTTTTTATACCACTCATCAATTGAGATTACATCACTTGGTATATAACACTCATCAACTAATCACTGTGTTGGTAGTAAAAACATAACCAATTGCAACAGTAATTTTTTGTTTTGGAATATCAGCGCAAGGGACGAGGGAAAAAATTGAAACAATTGTTTCTCGATCAGTAAAGAGATTTTTCAGGGTGCTCAAAACACAAAGCGGTATACCACATGCTATCATATAATTGGTAGAATTTTTTTTTTCGAGTGTCCCTTCAATTTTACAATTACATGTGATGTAGCACTCCGTGTTACAGATGAATCTTGAAAGATATGAAAGAACTCCTTCCAAACCGTACATACGACTTTCATTGAATACAATTCAATAAATATGAAAGATCTCTTCTCAAACTGTACACACTGAAGAATCTCTCGAATTAGTATTTCACACCTTTGAGAATTGAGATTGGCATGATTCTTACTCATCAGAGCACATTGTTAATCGAGAAAGACTAAAACATGATATGATTTACTGATCTTAACTTCATGAACCTTTGCCATGATAAGATCATAATAAACTGAGTTTGTCGGTTAGAATTTTATAATATTTCCTCCTTCTAAATCCATATTGTTTTTCACTTTATAACTTTACAGTGACATAAAGCACCAAATCAAATAAGATCTCATCTTTACTCAGTTATATGCGTGGCGCCGCTCCCACTAATTTTCTGTCCGACCACCAACGGAAAGACAAGAAAAGACAAAGCAAATCAACAAATATATGTCTACTTTTCTTACTAGGTGCATGATAGTAAAGGTCACTGAAATTTACCTTATGTTTAGTTTTCGTTTTTAAATTCTTATATTGGTTTCTTTCCTCTATCAACTTAACTTAGCATTGTATAAATGGTCATTTTGTCAAATTTGCCTTTTTTCTATCAAATTTAAGGATAAAGTGATATTTTTATACAGAAAAGAAAAAAAAAATCCAACTTATTTTTTTTAAAAAAGAAGAGCTTAGCTCCTTAAGATTAAGTTCTTTCTCAAAACACTTTGTGGCCTATTTATAAAATTTCATGCTTATGATCGGAATAAGTCAAGAGATATTTTAAGGAGTTCCTCCTCAATCCTTGAGGAGCCAAGTCTTTCTCTTAAAAAATTTATTTTCTTATTTTTTTTGAATGAAATTACTATTTTATCCCTCACCTTAGCGGAAAAGTTAACTGAGTTAACAAAAATTACTACTAGTGCAACAAATGACATAATTTGAGGACATGAGAAATTATTAGTAGAGTTCAGGGAAGAAAATTAAGTTTGTGGTAACCATTTAGCCTTTCCCATTTATAACTCTTTCTATAAAAAATTATGTTGATTGGACATCATAGACTCGTGTTCATTTTTGGTCACTGACACTTAGTATGTGTTCCATTTGAGTACCTGTTTGGACCCAATTTTACACTATTGACCCGAGCAATCGAGGCCGTTGAATGAGCAGAATTTTAGATTGTTGAAGGACAAAATGGTTGAAATAATTTTCAATTATTATTGAGAAATAATATTGCGATTTTAATCATAATGTTATCTCTTAGTAATATATTAAATTATTTGAACCTAATATTTGTCTAAATCCCAATTGATTTGAATGATGATGGAATATGGGGATATGCATTAAGGCATGGTATCAGATAACAACATGCAAAGATATTGGGGATACGTTTTGCATATGTGGTATTGCTTTGGCCACGTGACACATGCATAATTAGGACTCCTATGCAAAGTGGTGTTTGATGGTAGATGGCATCTCAAGTGATTAGTTGATATTGCAATTAAATTGCATGCATGGTTGCACATGTGTCGTGGGAAAGAAAGCTTTATAGTTTGCATTAGGAGTCTTGGCTACGAATGACAGCTTAATGGGATAAAGTAAGGCTACTGATGGAGTTTTGATGATGAGATAAGAAGCCGAGGTGGGCTAGGCTTCTGATGTGATGTGATCAGCCTAGATAGGTTTTTATCTTGTTTGAAAAGTCACAAACAGTAATCTGAAGGATATGCTTTGGCTTCTGACACGGATCAATTTAAGGCCCGCGAGTTAGAGTTGTAGTTGGACTCTACGAAATATCATGTCGTGCCAAGCAAAAAGTATGGATGCTATAATCCTATAAATACAGAGTCACAAGCAACATCTAAGCCCCCTCCCATTCAACACACAAATTGCCCTGCATAAACTCTCACTCTACACAAAACCTCTCAACAACCTTGAGATTCTTATTTTCTTTTTCCACCAACACATCTTCAGTTTGAATAAACAGCACTGTGAAGGCAACCAGTGACATCTTTAGTTTGGATAAACATCACTGTTGCCGTAGAATCAGCCGACAGCGGAGCACCTTCAGTTTGAAAAAACAGCACTGCGTTGAGGTCAACTGGTTATCTATCCAAGTCTCGGTCGAGAAGGATTTTCGAATCCTTATTGGCAGATGTCATCTCATTAGCCTTCTCGGCGAAATGAGGTGTTACATGTTACTACATTCGGCACATTAAAAGCCGAATTTGATTTTGAACTTCGCAGAACTAGTAGCCTTGTCTTCAAACTCTAGAACCCGAAGGCCGAGACGTGTTCCTTCCTCAGCTGCAGTCGTAACATCAAGAAGTCAGCAACGCACCCAACGCCACATCAACATATTTTACTCACTAGCCGAACTTGGTCGATGAGTTGGCACGCCACGCACACAATTGAAGGACGTAGTTAGCTTATTAATTATTTGGCTTGCGCACCACGTAAGCTTGGTAGTTTTTTAGAGTCAACAGTATCACAAGAGTTTAATTTCATTATTGACAATTATTAAGTGAGAAAAAAATTGGATGAACTGAACATATTTGCCTTCAAGAAGATTGATTTTGTCGCACAAAGGATCTCTTCCTTTTGCAACATTCCACAAGTTTTTCACAATCTAACTCCCCTTTCTGATGTAATTTTCATTTAGCTTTGGTTACAACCACTTTCAAATTATCCGTGACGAATATTTTGTCGTTCAAAGTGTTTAGCGACGAAGATTCCCATCAATGGAAGAAAAGAAATCAAGTCATGCAGTCTCCGGCAGTCCGTTGAGCGACGAATTATTTTTCATTTGGAAATACTTTTTTAAGCGTAGTGGAAAAAAATAAAATATTAAATTTGCTAAAGTAGCTTTTATACCATGGAAATCACGTTACTAAAGTTAAGTATGTATTAGTGACTGTAAATGAAGTTAATGAAATAACTTTTTTTATGTTTTTTAAATTAAAGATATACAAAGACATGCCGCAAACAAGGGTGATAATTATTATACAAAATTTTAGGTGGTGTTAGTGGACGAAGCAATCAAGTAACTAAAGGGTTTGAGTCACATCAGCTCCTGTAATTTTCAAGTAAATTATTGGACTGTTAAAATAGGAGTTCAAATTTTCTACACCTACTTTGTATGTCTGTATGTGTGTCGGAGTTCAAATATTCCTATATATTCGTATCGCTATCAACTTTTGGCCCGGATATGTATGCCATGTGCTAACCCACACAATAAGTTTGGTTTGATTTTGTCAAGTTTCAACCATGATTTGAATTTTTTTTTTAAACAAACGATATTATCTACACTAAAGGGTTGGGAGTGGGATAAGCCTCATAATGGGCAACTAGTGAAGAAGAATATCACTAGAACGTAGTACTTTGACTCAACCATAATTTGAATTAAAAATGAACAAAATATGGTCTAGTAGAAACCGAACCCGATCCGTTATAGAATAGTGGCTTGTGGCCAATTTGAGTATGAAACTGATCAAAACTAATTTGTTTAAAAGAAAAATCTATGTTAGTGGTGGATTGCCTTGATTGTTAAGATATTCATCTACGATCTATTATACGTCCGGTCAAACCCTTCCCAACCTCTTAATCTGTATATACAAAGAAAGTGGCAAATTTTGGTGAATCATTCAATCTACCAAAAACTGCTCCTCCCTAATTAGAATTTTCAATATAAAACAATTTAACTCATAAGGATAAAATCATAAAATGACATCGTTTGGTCTATTTCTTTAATTTTTTTTAAACAACAAAATATAAAAGGAAAGTTTTACGAAAAACTTTTGATACTGTTCACTTTAACGAAAAACCACATTTTTACACTAAAATGTCAATCGTGGTACTATTCGCTTTACCCTCTATTTTATCTTTATAGTTAAAACTCAAAGTTTTCACTCTTTTCATTAGTTTTCCTAACATAAAAACATATCTTAAATGAAAACAACGAAAATAACATACAAATGAGCAAATTGTCATAAGAAGCTAGTAATTTTTATCACAAAAAGGCCCAACTAAGAGTCGGCCCAAATTAAGTACAAATACCAATCCGGCCCATTGAAAAAGAAAAGCACATTGATTCAATCTCCATTGTTAAGAGGTAAATAAAGCTCAAAATTCAGTTAAAATTCCCGGGAAAGAACAACAAAAATGGTGGTGGTGTTGGGTTCTCTTAGCCAAATCAAGCCCTCTCCAATACCAACCAACTCTTCTTCTTCTTCTTCTTCCTCAAACCCCTCACGCAATTCACAGAAGAACAAAATTCTCACCAGGAGAAGAGCCATGGTGCTTGCCCCAAGCCTTGTGGCCGCTTCCTTGCTCCATTTCTGTAACCCCATTTCCCCACAACCTTCATCTCGCCTTGCACTCGCTCTGCAGGATGAGCTTCAGCAAGACGAAGACCGCGCCGTCAATCTCTTCCAGGTCTCACTCTTACACTAAATTGACATTTTTTTTTGTAATGTTTTGACTTTTGTGTCATTTTTTTTGCCCGTTGATTTGAATGTAGGTCGTGGAATTAAGCTTCATTCTGTAATTTTTGCTAATTTTGTTTGACCCTTTTGGTTGTTTATGTGGTTTGTTGAAAAAAGATGAAAACTTGAATGGAAGAACTGTTGAAAGTATGCAGAAATTGGAATTAAGTCGCTCAATTGTTACCTTTTTTTCTTTTATGTTCATTTCTGCATCCATCCGCTGCTCAAAATTCCTATAGATTTTAGTTTTATCGCGGTCGAATAGCAATGGCACTGTCGTGCAATCGTTCAACCTTCATTTTTCTGTGACCCATATCTCTTTCTGATGTTATTAATTGGAAGTGTTATCATATCATCAATATTGGTAGATTTTCTGAAATCAGTCCGAAAGCCCTAGAATTTTTTGCTCGAATCTCTGGGATTTTCTTAAGGTGGGTCTTATGGTTGTTTGTGTATCAGTTTGCTGCTCAGAAAACTTTATTCAAACGGTGGAGCGAATGATTTGTATATAAACTAGAAATTCACACTTATGAAATACCTATGAATAAAATTTGGATGGGTTCGAAAACTCGTTCCTTCCAAACGAATCGAGCTCTATGGTTTATAGTCATTCCTTATCAAAATTGCTTCCACGTAAACCAAACTCTATGTTATGCTTCTAGGTGCACATGTTATTCACCTCACCTCAGTGAATTATTATTTTGTCATGGTAAGATTTTCAGAGAACTTGTAGGTGAATCTATTACTAACCTCGTCTTAATGAACTGGCGATTTAAAACATATGGTTTCTTTATTCTCATTCTTCACCAATTGTGAAATGTGATTGCAGGAAGCTTCTCCATCGGTTGTTTTTATTAAAGACCTTGAAATAGACAAAAGCCTCAAGGCCTCTTTTGATGTTGTCTCGCAAAGCGGAGATGAAAATTCCAAAGTTGAAGGAACAGGTTCAGGCTTCATTTGGGATAAGTTTGGTCACATTGTAAGCTTACCTGTTTTCTGCTTCTCTGTGTGAACTTAACTTTAGATGCTATGACTGAGCGAGTTCTTTTTCATCATTTCTCTTACAATCTGACGGGTATTCATAATATCTGTTTAACAACTTGCCTCAGCTTGCAGTCATAATGCTTGTATTTTCGTCTGTCAATTGCACTAAAGATCTAAATTTGTTAGCTTAGTTTTTCTAAGGTCGTTCCAGCAACGTTTTAGCAGGTTTTATATACATATGCAGCTGTGCTTTATTTTCGGACCTAAAAGACAGATTTTGTTGTAACTTGTAAGTTTGTAGTTTTGTATTATCTAGTGGTTTGCATCTTCTCCCAGATGATTAGGTATTATCTTCTTAGTTTATGGATGTTTACTTCCTGGTACTAAAGCCAGTCAATCCTTTGTGGCTCCAGGTCACAAATTACCATGTTATAGCTAAATTGGCTACGGATCAAAGCGGATTACAGCGTTGTAAGGTTTTGTCCTTTTATTCGATTTAAAATCTTTGTCATATTTTCAAGTTCTTGTTCCGAACGTAATTGAATGTTTATTTTGGAGTTCAAGTCATTCGTTTGAATTTCAAAGTTTCTTTGGCACCCTTCTTTATAGGTTTACCTTGTGGACGCGAGAGGCAATGGTTTTTACAGTGAAGGAAAGATTGTTGGTGTCGATCCAACCTATGATTTAGCTGTTCTTAAGGTATTCAGCAAAACTCACCAATTTTATTCTCTTGGCGTTTGTCTTACTTCCTTGTTGTAATATGCATACTAAGCGTTCAGCCACTCTATTGCAACCAAAGTCATGTTTAAGAAATTTCCATGAGGTATGGTATGGTATGATGCATGTGATAACAACAAAAGCTTTTCATCGATCTCAATCTCGTTTCATAAAATCATGTAAACTAATGCACCATACGCATTTCATTTTGTGCATAAACTATCGAGTACATGTGAAGTGTTGATGATTCTTAGCTTAATACCAATGTGCAGGTTGATGTTCAAGGACATGAGTTAAAACCTGTTGTTCTTGGTACATCTAACGATTTACATGTCGGTCAGAGCTGCTTCGCCATTGGAAATCCTTATGGATACGAGAACACACTAACAATAGGGGTAACTTTTCCACTGTCACTACTCCACACTTAGATTTTTCGGTCTGTTTAATGTTTTTCATCAATTTCTGCCAACTGTGTTATGGCCTGATGGGTTCTTTGGATATCACAGGTGGTCAGTGGCTTAGGGAGGGAGATACCCTCACCAGATGGAAAGGCCATCAGAGGAGCTATTCAAACGGACGCTGCCATTAACTCTGGTAAAAATTTCGTTTTCCATAAGCCTTCACACAGCTTTCATCCTTCTTAACATAATCGTGTTCTGTATGCGTACAAACGAATTGCGGTTTCACTGTGTACTTAATTCTAGTAATGCAACCACCGATATGATTTAGTTAGTTGATAATGCATCAGACTGCTGAAGTTCATTGCCTGCAAGTTATGTTTTACTGTAGGGTAAAGAAAACGTCTTTCCTGTTTTCATCCGAAAACACAGCCGAAGCTTTCCAAACCTTGCAAACCTGCTCATTTTCGTCCACGGACAATAGATGATCATTGACGACTTATGTTTCCCTTTTATTTTCGGTTCCCTTTGCTTGAAACCCTTGGTCGACCATGCTCTGGGAGTGTTTGCAGATGTAAATTCGAGGTTTTCAACCTTCAATGGTGGAATTTTTGCAGGGAATTCAGGAGGGCCGTTAATTGATTCGCATGGCCATATTATCGGAGTTAACACAGCAACGTTCACTCGCAAAGGTAATCGTTAAGCTTGTTCCTCAGCACCATACGAGGAAGAGATCTAGAAACCAAGTTGTATTGCCCGGAAGCTGGAACTCGGACTTCGTTAAGACTTCCAAATGCTTATATTATCTCTGTTTATATTGCAGGGACAGGAGCATCTTCCGGTAGTTAACTTTGCAATACCGATTGACACTGTCGTGCGAACTGTGCCGTATCTTATTGTATATGGAACACCATACCGCGACAGATTTTGATCAAACCTTACCCGTTGTACCTAACAATATGTATAAGATTTCACAGAACAAATCGAATATCTATACGAATATTAATTTTTATGTAAATTTGTTCATGATTATTCAAAAAGCGGACATCACCGGACATTAGAATGCTTCATGCCAATCTGTTCAAGAAATTCCCCACGAAAACATCGATCTTCGAAGAAAATCGAATTCATACATGGATTGCCTAGCCACACATACAATGCAAGTTCTAAGCAAAACAGTTTCTATCATTTATAAAATCAAACCCGTCTTCGCACACCGCACATCAGAGTAGTTTTGAATATCGTCTTGTTAAAGACGTGAATACAAACATCATAGTACAAAACCATATTTTGTAAAAGATTGGTTCTAGAAGGAAAGCAGAGACAATTGTTCTTCGACAGAGCAACCAACGTGACAAGAAGCACGGCAAGAAGAAGGGATTAGAATCAGACCAAGGCACCGCTGCTCCATCGGAGACGGGGAGGACCGCCGCGTGCTCCGATACTCCACTGCGTCCTGGAGTATAATGTTGCCTTGCTTGTCGATGCAGTGAAAGGTGCCCAAGAAAAACCGGCCGTCTCTTATTCCAACTAGCATTCGCCGGAACAGCAGCTTCCTGGCGCGGTTCACTGACGCCGGCTCCGACCCATCCGAGCTCGCTGCCTGAATCAGCGTTTCCGCCGCTTCTTGTTCCATGTTCTTCCTATTCGGTCTGAATATGATCGAATTCGAATCGGCCACTGCTGCTGGGGAAAAGCAATGAGGTCCAATGGCTTCATTGTTCTCACTATTTATTTATTTGGGCTTTGGGCCCACTTAGATTTAGAAAACCATAGAAATTTGTAAAAATAATATCTCAATTTTAATCTAATTAGAACAATTGTCTTTTAATTGAAAATTTATGACGGCTGGTTTTTTAATTCGTCAAAACATATAGCTATAATCATTTTTGTCAATTTCATCAGAATTCCATCAAAATGAGTTATGTTTGAAGGACAATTGCTATAAATGAGTTATGTTTGAAGAATTATTGCCATAATTGAGTTAAAATTGAGAGATCATTGATCTAATTGGGCTAAAGATAATGAATCACCCCTCCAATTGGTACAATTTTTTTATATCTGCCCATTGATTCAGTTTCACGTGTGTGACACGTAACTTTTTTTTATAAAAATCCTAATGAAATTGATAAAAATAATCATAACCTGCACGTCGTAATAAGTTGAAAAAACTAATAATAATAAATTTTTAATTTATAAACCACTTATACTAACTGAATTAAAGGTGATGACCATTGCCATAATTTTCTCAAAAACTAACAATAAAAAAAACTAACGTTCCTTCCTGCGTCATATATCCGACTGCAAGTACGACAATAAGGTAAAAAAAACCTAGGAACTCGACTGCTTCACAAACCCAATAGTTTCCGGAGCTCTCGTATTCGACTGATTACAACAGGTGAGTTTTCGACAAGGGTTTTTACCCATTCGCCTCAGAGGCTTGGATTCTCTGATTTTCTCCAAAGGTTTTTCCTTTCCGCTGCAAATAAACCCTACTTTGTTAATTGAAGAAAACCCCTTTTTTTTCTGTTTCTTTTGGTACAAAGATTGCCAAAGGGAAGGCAATCCAATGTTATTTGAATCAAATTTTGTTCTTTCTTTTATCTGCTTATTGCTTTTCTGTTGTAATTTTGGGGAGTGCCCAGTTTTTGAATTTTTTATTTTGGTGTGGTTTTAGGAGGAAAACCAATCCAGAGGAAGAATGGGGGAGACGGGTAAGCGGTATCGGTCGCAGAGAGACTACGATGGGGGAAACAAGAACCAAAAGAGACGATTCAATGACCGAGACGAAAGGGGTAGTGATGAATTGGTGGTTTATAGGATTCTATGCCCTGATGGGGTTATTGGGAGTGTTATTGGCAAGAGTGGGAAAGTGATCAACTTGATCCGGCAAGATACTAGAGCGAAAATCAAGGTTGTGGATCCGTTTCCGGGTGCGAAAGATAGGGTTATAACTATTTATAGCTATGTTAAGGATAAGGAAGAGGTTGAGGTTGATGATGAGTTCAGTGATAGGGAACCTTTGTGTGCTGCCCAGGATGCTCTTCTCAGAGTTCATTCTGCGATTTCAAATGCATTGGCTAGTGTTGGGGATTCGGATAAGAGACGGAGGGATGGTAGGGAAGACTGCCAAATTCTTGTTCCTTCTAGCCAGTCTGCAAATATTATTGGTAAGGCGGGGTCGACTATAAAGAAACTGAGGAGCAAGACGAGGACCAACATCAAGGTTGTTGCAAAAGATGCCACTGACCCAACACATTCGTGCGCCATGGACTTTGACAATTTTCTCATGGTTAGTATTTGTAATTAAATAAGAATAATTACTCAATGTTTCAGTTTTGCTTTTCCAAGTAGGCATTTTCGTTCTTGTTTTCGAAGGTTGGGTTATCAGTACAGTAGCTCGATAGTTCATATTTGATGCCTTGCCTTGGTTCAGAATCGTTTTCATTTTTCTTGTATATGAAGTTTTTTGGGTATGTTTACACTCTCATTGTAGCCATACAATAGTCGGGAATGAACAGGCTAGGCACTCTACAGCATTAGAAAATGTTAGTATGAAGTTCCTGAATTGTGTTAAATGGACCTTCTTTGTGCATAAAATGTAATATGTTTACATGCTTGCAAATTTTGTTATAGATGTTTAACATTTCTGTTTGGTTAACTTATATTTTCTGTTAAGAGTTCATTTCCCTTTGCAAACAGATAAATGGAGAATCAGAAGCAGTTAAAAGAGCATTATTTGCAGTTTCTGCAATTATGTACAAGTTTGCTCCGAAGGAAGAGATTTCTCTTGAGACATCGGTACCAGTGGCCCCACCAAGTATTATTATCCCATCAGATGTCCCTATTTATCAACCAGGTGGACTATATCAAAGTGGAGATCCTATTGTCTCTTCTAGATCTGTACCTCCAATCATAGGTGCTACACATTTACAGGATCTTCAGGGTTACACGGATACAGGGAACACATGGCCCCTGTATTCATCTGCCCTTCCTTTAGTTTCTGGTTTTGGCATTGCCTCCCGATCTGAGGAGTTAATTGTGCGAGTACTGTGTCCCTTTGACAAGATTGGTCGTGTCATTGGCAAAGGTGGGGGCACCATTAAAAGCATAAGGCAGGGGAGTGGTGCTCGTATTGAGGTTGATGATACCAAGGACCGTGCTGAGTGTATAATTAGTGTTACTGCAACAGAGGTATGACCATGATAGTCTACTATTACTATTACTGCAATAGAAGTATGACCGCGATGGTATACTGACTCTTTATGTTTTGGTAGACTTATCAAGAACAAAATTTGGGAAGAGCTCGGTATAAATGCATTTTCCACTAAGGGTTCAGTATTTCTTTATGTTTTGTTATGCGTCTGCATAGTATTTTATAGGCTAAAATAACCTAGAATATTCTATCAAATCCAGTATTCTGCTTCTGTTGCTGGTTTATGCCGACATCAGCAATTCCAGGATCCTTCTCTGTGCATGAGCTCATGTTTATTAACCATTTCAATGTAAAAAATATAGATTTCATTACGAGAAAGACTTATTATAATCCATCGTCAACTTCTAAACTTAAATGTCAACATTGTGTTGGGTGATTAAATTGTGAATAATCTTGACTAGTATTTTTCTATGGGTCTCACAACAGTACTCGGCATTCATCTCCTTGAACATGTTGATCATGTTGGGTTTCTTTTTTGGCAGTCACCCGATGATCTAAAATCTATGGCAGTGGAAGCTGTTCTTTTGCTGCAAGGGAAGATAAATGATGAAGATGATGACTCTGTTTCCATTCGACTTCTTGTTCCATCTAAAGTTATTGGTTGCATTATTGGAAAAAGTGGTTCCATTATAAATGAAATCCGAAAGAGAACAAAAGCTGATGTCCGTATTTCAAAAGCTGATAAGCCTAGGGGTGCTGATGCTAATGATGAACTTGTTGAGGTTGGTTCTACATAAATATTTAACCATTGCGATCCAATTTTTTCTTGTTGATCACATCTTTCTCATTTCTTTTTTCCTTATATAGGTGGCAGGAGATCCCAGTAGTTTGAGGGATGCGCTTATTCAGATTGTTCTAAGACTCCGAGACGATGTCTTGAAAGATAGAGATGATGGTCTTAACACCTCTGCTGGTACTGAATCTCTGTACTCGGGTGGCACTGGTCTCTCAATGCCACCTGTCCTGCCTTCTGTTCCCCCAGTTACTTCGATGGGTTATGATCAGAGGGCTGAAAGTGGAAGTGGCTTGGGCCTGCTTTCTTCTGGTAGCCTCTATGGATATGGATCTGTGTCGGTATGTCCATTTAACCAAGTTATTTTGGAGCTGAATAAACTTTAAATAAACCTCTGATACTACTTGTTGTATATGTTTTCTTTTCCTTTAGATGGGAGAAAATGGCTATGGATCCATGTCTTCGTATCCATCCAAGCTATATGGAGGGTCAGCGTATGTAGTGTTGCCTATCTTGCTGTGAAGCTTGTCTTTTTCGGTTTCTATTCATCCTTAGATTGCTTTCAATAACATTTGCAGGTTGCCACCCCCTTCAACACTTGAGATGCTAGTTCCTGCGAATGCAGTGGGTAAAGTGATGGGCAAAGGCGGGGCAAATATAGCCAATATTCGGAAGGTGGGAGGATCTTTCCTTTTGTATCTGTATCTACTGCTTGATTATTGTGTAGAGATGGATCAACATGAAAAGTCTAGCTAGTTTTTGCCTGAACACGTAGGCTTTGTGTGTTTGAATGTCATTCTCATTCATATTTGTGTCTTTTCCAGATATCGGGAGCAATGGTAGAGATCTCTGAGTCCAAATCTTCCCGGGGTGATCGTGTTGCACATATATCTGGCACACCTGAACAGAAGCGTACGGCAGAGAACTTGATTCAGGCATTTATAATGGCCCCCTAACTTTTCAGGCTGCTTCTTGCTGTTCAAAGGTGAATAGTCCTTTAAGTTAATATATGTCTGGTGCGTACAGCAGGGAATTTTGAACATTTCTCCCTCATGTTTCCTCTCCTAGTTCTTTAGATTCGGTTCTGGAGAAGGCTTCTTTCCTAGGCTTATTGAACTCAACCCTTCCTGATTCTCCCACTCAAGCCGGTATTGAGACTCTGCCAGAGGATTCACTGCGGGGTTTATGATTAGGCATGTAGCCCCATCTTTGTCGCCAAATCTATTCTTATCTACAATATTAGTTCCTTTCTTTCTTGTCGCGTCGCTTCATCTTGTCTTATCTTCACTAGTATAGAGTTCGTCTAATTTTCGGTACTGTCACTCTATATTCTATGAATTGATGTTCTTGCCAGAAGATTATTCGGTAGTGACCAGAATTTTCGATCTTATAGTATATGCTTGTTATTTCTCTGGCCATTCAACTCATGCTCTCAGCTTCTTGCCCGAAGCATCTTCTAATCAATTGTGTTAGTGAAATGCTATTCGTAATGATCTCTTCTTTGTGCTGTTCTTTTTAACTTACATGCGTACTGCAGACTGAGAGGAATCACTTTCTGCAACTAGATAAACCACAGGGAATCTTTTTGCTTCTGTATTCTCTATCTTCTGTCTTCATCTTGGTTTTTTGAAATCACTGCATTTATTAAATACTAATTGATCTTTTGGCTCGTTTTTGGTGCCATCCTTGACCCTTTTATAGTAAATTCACAACATTTCTCTAATAGTAATTTGTGTGCTCCACACATGAAAATCTCTCAGGGAGTTATTGTGTAAACAGACCTCCTGGGACTCCCTATTACTTGCGTTTTTTGCTTCCTAAAATTGTTGGATAAATGTCAAAATTCACGACTATGGGGCTCTCTTATGGGACTGACTTCATTATATCCTCTTGATTGCAGTGGTTTCGAACAGCTATAGGATCATGGTTTTCCCATTTTAATCTAATCCATGAGTGAGCCACTGTGCTTCTAGCACAGCTTAGTCTCTCTTTTCTCAATTTTAACTAATCTAGGTATTCAATGTTAGTAAATGACAGAAACGGATTATCTTCGTTAATAATATTAGGCTTATTAGTAGATTAACTGAGTCAATATTTGCCCCTCGTACATCAAACTGCTCGCATGTTCAGATACCATCTTCTGGTTCTGGTGCAGATTTATTTTATCATCTTCTACTTCTAATTATCCATTTTGTCGTTCAATTCTTGTCTGCAAACATGGCCTGATTGTGTGGTAGTTTGCAGTTTAAATGATGCTTCCCTAGAACCCACATACTCTCACCACCTTAACGCCATTTTGATGTCTAAATCGTTTGTTTTAGTGGTGTAGCTTTAATTGCTTACGATTCTGAAACTTCTAGTTTCATATATAGAGAGAGAGAGAGAGAGAGAGAGAGAGAGAGAGAGAGAGATGGTGCACAGAAATATAGAATTTAGATGAGTTACTTCACACTGAACTCTAAACCACTTGTAGATTACACTTAACAATAAGACGATATCCCAGCAAGCCACTTGAATTTCAACTTCGTCCCTTCCTTTAGATTACAATGGAGCATTCGTGTAGGTGTTTGCTAAATATTGATCACAATAAAAAGCTCTTAGGTGCGTACCAAGGACCCGATTTTTTTCAGGGTCTAGTTACTTCAGCTCCATTTCGACTCTAGATTTTTTTCAAGCCACTCCTCTCCGAAGACCATACGAGACATTCTACTCTCTCTCTCTCTCTCTCTCTCTCTCTCTCTGAAGTATATTTCAAGTAGTGTTAGTTAAGACTTGAGAAATCGAATTAAGACTGGTATTTCACCGTTGCTGGGGGCATGCGTTGAATCAGTCGTATAGCATGGCTGTGGCCGCATTTTACAGGCTATTGGTTGCTTGTGTACTGAAACTGACATGGGATGCTGCGAGATTGTGATTGAAATTCGGAAGGTGGAGGTGGAGCGGTGTGATCGCTTGGGAAGGGGGATGTCAAATGTGCTAACACTGAGCATAACTTACATTTGTCTGTGATGTAAAAGAAGATTTTGTTAGTAATGTACCACAAAAACGATTTGACAAGTGCTTGTTTGATGTTTGTTTTGTTGGTTATGAATTTATGAGCGGAGTTGATATGGGAAATTCATGCTTTCTTTGTTTTGGAGCTAGTTTATCCGAACCTAACACGATACGATAAAAGATGGAGAGTTGATACTGACACAAGAAAAAAGTGATCATACACACTTGTTTTCTTTTTCTTTTTTCACTAGAGAGTGTATGGTGAATTTTTGGAGTGTTAATAATAATTTCGTTAATTGTGTCTTAGAAATCAAAGGCATAGAGAAGTTAGGAAAATTTCGACCTAACCATTATAGTTGGTAGAATCCACTAGGGAAGAGGTGAAATTTGGGAAAGAATCAACTATTATAGTGTTTTAAAACAATATAGGGAAGAGGTGAAATTTGGAAAAAGAAATGGATAATGAGTGGAAAAACAAATGTATTTAATGGTTTGTGTTGTGACTTTTATATTTGGTGGTTTCTTATGGAGTTTGAGACCAATAATTTTAAAAGGCATGATCGGGAGAAATTTTTTAGGATGCTAGAAATACGGTCTGGTATATTAAATATTATAATATAATTAGTTGAAATTAATTTTTTTTTAATTTTTAAATTAATTTTATTATTACACGTAGTGCACTTAGCTGTGTTTTTGGCATGTTAAAACATTTCTCGATAATCTGGTCGACTCATCAGTGGCTCGTTTATCTTATGGGTTCATACGTGTACTCAACTTATTTTGCCCACTCAAAGTGATTAGATAACTTATTAAAATCACCCGATTAATTTTCATATGATATGTCAAATCATGCAAATAGTTTAATGCTAAATAATAAATAGAAATATAATTGAAAAAAGAAAAAAATAGATAGAAAAAAAAATTCATTCTCAGTGCTTGTTGGTAACAATTAACAAAACACCTAAGTAGACACGATCAGACTTTGATTCTCGCTTAACTGTTCTTAAAAATTTGTTACTGTTTTTAAAATTTTTTACGGTGGTTAATGGCTCATAGACGAGTGACAATCAACAACTTTCAATCTTATATGAGTTATAGACAAGAGACAAATTAGAGATTAATAAAACTTCTCATTTCTAATCATCTTGCGGAGATATAAAAATTTATTTAACATCTGTTCGTTACTTCAATATAGATAGCAACTTATTCAATCCAACAGAATTGAAACAACCAAATGAGCAAAATGTAAATTGGATACAATGACAACCATCACGAGATGCCTAAGTGGTTGAAGACGAATTTCAGACTCAGTATTTCACATAGCACGTCTGAATTTGTTTCTCTGATGTTATTGAATCATACGATAGTTCTAAAAAGAATATAAAATATCCCTATAACTCTTCCCGACTCTAAAAAAAAATGAACAGTCATAACCATGCCGCAAAATGAGTAGTACTATTATTATTTTTGGATCAAAGATATGCTTTGGAAGGTGCAACACTGCGTCGTATAACGACAATCATCCCAAAATCCAAACCAAACAATCATCGTATGACAAGTATCAAAACACTTAACAAAAATAAATAAACAATCCCATTCTTCCATAATTTCATCCGAAACGATTTGGAAAGTTGGTATTTTGATAGCACCAAACAAGTAAGGAGAAGAACCCATCGTCGTCATCCATCAATGGCGAGCAGGAGATGTTTGCAGCGTGCGCTGAGCACAACGAGCTTGAAGAACGGTATGATTTGGAGGAGCTTCGGTGCTGTCCCTCAAGCCACCACCCCTTCATCTTCTCAGGAGCTCATCAACTCGGAATATCAATACAGCGCCCACAAGTCACCTCTCTCTCTCTCTCTCTCTCTCTCTCTCTCTCTCTCTCTCTCTCTCTAAACTCTTCATGTCTCATCCAAAAATTTCTCATCTCTGCTACTTTTTCCGTTCTTCTTCATGTTCTGCCATCTGGGTTCTGTTTGTTTCCATCTAATTCCTTATCTGCGGGTTCTAAATGCACTTGTAATTATATGTATTGGGTTTTGTTTATAATTTCTTATTGTTTTGAGTTTAGTTTGATTGAATCACTTGGATTTCCTGCACTTTGTTAGGCTGCTTTGATTGATCGGAGCCGACTTTCCATTTTCTCAATTAGGATATTATGAGCATATAAACGTTAAGGAATACTGGGATTGTCTGCATACTTAATTTCAACTAATTCTGTATTTAGGAAGTGCTTTTCGCCTGTAACGAGCCTCCGGAAAAGCTAACTGTGTTAAATAATTGATCACGATTGTAAAGTCTCCTCCTTTTTTTTCGGTTTGAAAAACTACAATGTTAAAGTCTCCTCCTTGTTCTAAGTTTTTGCCTGGATGGTGTAAACGTGTTAAATTCTTTGCTGGAAGGGGTTTTGTGACGAAGTTTTGACAAAATTTGCTTGGTGCAAATTTCAGTTACCACCCAATTCCCGTTGTGTTCTCTCAAGGAAAGGGATCATGTATACAGGACCCAGAGGGAAACAGATATCTGGACTTTCTTTCAGCTTACTCTGCTGTTAATCAGGTAGACGAGCATGAACATGCGCACACGCTTGCACATACAATATGCATACATATTTGTAACTACCCTGTAATCGAAACTGCCTTATCTCTTTTCTGCACCAGATGACATGAACTTTATTGTCCCATTCGAATTACAAAATGGAAATCCATGACAATAGTATTCCTTTTTTGCATTCGAATGTTCTCCTTCTTGATCAATTATTAATGTGGAACTGGCTTTTTTCCTTGAATCTGAGTAAATGTGAAGCAAGTGAAGAAGCTTGTTCACATCAGAAATGCCAATTCTTGAAGCAGATATATAGAGAATAACACTCTTTCTCCTTATTCAACGGAATTTCCTGCTGCAGGGACATTGCCATCCAAAAATCATGAAGGCATTACAAGAACAGGCAGAAAGGCTAACTCTTAGTTCTCGGGCTTTCTACAATGATAGATTTCCAATATTTGCCGAGTATCTAACAAGCATGTTTGGCTATGACATGGTGCTACCTATGAACACTGGTGCTGAAGCTGTGGAAACAGCTTTAAAGGTGGCAAGGAAATGGGGTCACGAGGAGAAAAAAATTCCAAAAGATGAGGTACAATTCAAGGAGACGTATCTACTTTTTGACATAGATCTTACTAGTTTTAGTTTGCATTTCTATCTTTCAAGTTAGTTCATATGGGGTCATATATAAATGTTTTCTTAAGTCTGTTCACTGACTGGAGTACTTCTGATTGTTGCACTGTGCATGTTAATATAAGTTCTTGTGTAGAGATTTATGATTATCGTTTTCTTCTTGAGAAAAGAATGGGGAAAAACGAGATACAACCCTAATCACCATAGAAAAATAACCAAGAAATCAAATCGCTTAATTTAGGGAACTAGCTCATGCCTCAAAACAAGTTTGAACGCCAAAACTCTGACTGACTTAGAAGCCTAATTTGTATGTACGTGTTATTGTTTCTTTTAGAATTATGCCATTCTAGTTTGGTGACTTGAACATTAGAAGGACAATGGCAAGGTTATTGTGTCAGATATGTCCCTAACTCAACTGAGTCATACACAGGCTATTATTGTCTCGTGTTGTGGCTGCTTCCATGGTCGTACTTTGGCAGTCATCTCCATGAGCTGTGACAATGAAGCTACCCGTGGTTTTGGACCCTTGTTGCCTGGACATCTTAAAGTTGATTTTGGTGATGCAGCTGGCCTTGAAAAAGTTTTCAAAGGTTTGAATACATTTTTTTTCTGTTTAAGAATTTGTAGTGATTATACCCTTCGACTTAAAAGATCATATCTGTTTAAATCATCATATAGTTCGCGCTTTTTTGTATTTTTCTACCAGGTTTGTGTATTAATTGAACTGACAAATTTTTCTGTTATGGGGTGCAGAGAATGGAGACCGCATAGCCGGATTTCTCTTTGAACCCATTCAAGGAGAGGCTGGGGTATGTGTGTTTTTGGAATTAAATACTTGATTGATTTATGGTGTTCCGTAGAAATGGACCAACGTGTATAGAGTTGTTGGATGCTAGATTCTATCACGTGTTCTAGAATCTAAACTTATTTCCATATTCTATCAGTTCTTTTGAGAACAATCGTCTGTTGTGATCACAGGTTATAATTCCTCCAGTCGGTTATTTGAAAACTGTTAGAGATCTATGCTCGAAATATAATATTTTGATGATCGCTGATGAAATACAATCTGGTTTAGCACGGTCAGGGAAAATGCTTGCTGTTGATTGGGAAGAAGTTCGCCCAGATGTAGTGGTGAGTGAGTAGGGATAACTTTGACAGTGTGGCGTTAAAATGCGGAAGGTGTTTATTTAGCCTTCATGATACATAACCATACGCCTTTTTGCTTTTTTGGCTGAGTTCTTTTTCATGCAGTGCAGTTATGTTTATAACCATACCAGATGCATAACTAAGACTTTATGGGTTTTATTCAGATACTAGGAAAAGCATTAGGTGGTGGAGTGATACCCGTAAGTGCGGTGCTTGCGGACAAAGACGTAATGCTTTGTATCCGACCCGGAGAGCATGGAAGGTTTGCTCTTATAACTGCTTCCATTTATAGTCTCTTCTAGTACATTGAGAGCTTTCCATTTATAGTCTCTTCTAGTACATTGAGAGCTCTTGTCACCATAATTTTATCAGTAGCTTTTTCAGAAAAAGGTTGAAACATAAGCAATTTCTGTTTGTGATCCTGCGTGGCCATGCCGTAGAAACATGATTTCTGATTTGTAAGAGTTGTTTAATGGTTACCAGTACTACACATATTTATAATTTCTTATTAGTCTTTATGCCGCTTGTTTGCCTTGGTTTCGGGCGTATATAATAGGGCTGACCATACTATTAATTTGGGATCACTTGCAGCACCTTTGGGGGTAATCCGTTGGCCAGTGCAGTCGCTAGTTGCCGCACTAGATGTTATCAGAGATGAGAAGCTTGCTGAAAGGTGTCGAACATAAACCCTTTCACTCTCCTCTCTTATGACATCACTATAAAATCATTGTAGAAATTATGTTTCGTGATGTTCAAATACCAACAGATCAGCCGAAATGGGACAGGAGCTTAGGAATCAGCTTGTCAAGATTCAGCAGCAATTCCCAAACTACATAAAGGAAGTTCGAGGAAGAGGTTTGTTCAACGCTGTGGAGCTCAATAGCAAGAATCTGTCCCCTGTTTCTGCTTACGATATCTGCCTACAGTTGAAGGAGAGAGGAGTTCTTGCCAAGCCAACACACGATACTATTATCCGATTGACTCCTCCGCTCTCCATAAGGTAAATACAGGTGTTGGTGATCACTGATCAATCATGTTTTAATCTCATTGAAACTAAATGCCTGACAAGCATAACTATGATCCGGTGGGATCAACGGAAATGACAGCATGTTTCAAAGTTTTCTGGATATCTTCTATGTTCTAACAATATAACTTTAATGCCTGTTTTCAGTTTGGAGGAAGTCCAAGAAGGATCAAAAGCACTTTCTGATGTTCTGGAACATGATCTACCAAAGATGCAGAAGGAAAAGCCCGAGAACTCCTCGTCGACTGCTTCTAACATATGCGACCGTTGTGGGCGAAACCTGTATGATTCTACACACAACAATCACTGAATCATATGTCCTTGTGAGTCCTAAGAATTTACCTTTTTCCTTTCAAACTACATCCTTTCTCAATAAAGTACCATCTGTCCAAATATCTAGCCTGACTTGGATGATAAGTAACTTCAGTTTATTTAGGTTTCGATCACCAACAGTGTGTATGGACATGTACTGTCAAAGCTCTTGGATTCTTTTTCTTTTTTTCCTTTTTTTTATTATTTTATTTTTATACCTGTAGTTTTTCACAGTACCATGACCAAGGTTCTAAAAGGTGCTAGGCGTTAGTCGGGCAGAGTGGGGCCTAGCGCCTAGGTGGCTAGGGGAGGGTCTAAAGTAAACTTATTATATATCATATAAATAAGTATATGTTTATACTTAAAAAATACATAATTGACTTGGGATACATACATTGAAAAATTGAATGATAGATTAGAAAGTATTACAACATATTGAAAATATGGGGAACCAGAGTATAATGGGTGTTAATCTCAGCGTTCAGCAAGTCTTTTACAATTTATTAAAAAAATAAAATGCAAAATGAAAGTTATTTATGTTCTGTCTATGGGAGAGTCACGACCTAAGCGGGCGCCTAGCAGCTCTAGACACCCTTTCTTAATTTTGAAACCCCTAGGGATTAATCAGGATGGTGGCCAACTACCTAGCACCTAGACGGGACCTAGGCTGCGCTAGGCAAGAATTTTTAGAACGGTGACCATTATTTGGATTGTTTGGATGGATAGAATAGCAGATTTTCGATCTTTCGACGACTTTACGGGCTTTAGTGTCGTATTATTTTGGGGACATTTCCTACAGTGTAATGTTTTTGTCTGTAATTTTCTGATTTTGTACTTTGAAGCAGACAGGAACATAGCTTTGGTGGTATCGTTATTGTGCTTAGTTGTTAATGTCAATTTGTCAAGGTTGCATTTTAAGAGCATTAGCTGGAATTTCTTTGTCAAGTTTGTCTTTTCTCATAACTCAGCTTGTTTGAATGAACATCTTGTCTTCTCCCTTTCTGGGGAACGTACTTTGTTCTGGAGTTGAGATGTCCTAAAGATATAAATGTGACTTGGATAGTTGGATAGTTGGTGTGAAAATTAATCTCAAGTAGGTGATACAACTGGTGTGACAAACATCTCCTCGCCCGACAAAAACTTCCATGTCACGTGGATATATTCTCGCGTTCTGGCTCAGGCATGGACAAGGATTGTCTGCCCTCCCCTACCCTCCTGTTTGTATGGTCACGGTTAAGCTACGTCAATATTTTATATTACTATTCATTTTTGTCTTATTATCTCTATAAAAAAATAATATAAAATGTTGACGTGGCTTAACCGTGGCCACACAAAACAAGAGGACACGAGAGGGCATCAGAAGTGGGATGGCAGACAATCCTTATCCCTCAGGCATTGAGAGAGTCGGAATATATCCCAATGTAAGTAAGTTAGTCGCATCCTCATTGGATTAGACTATTAGTACTACAATCTAGTAGTATTTATCTTTATTTGTAAGTGGATGATCTTAGATTTAAAGTGTTATAAACAGCGAGTTCGACACCTATTATTGATGTCCACATTAAAAATGTTGTGTTGCAAATGATGCTAGGCGGACTAAATTCGTAGACAAAATTTGCAAATCAAATGATGTGTCAGCAATAGGAAATAAGCACGTCAGCGTTTAAGTAATAACCAATCATCAACTTCCATGTCATTTAGTTTACAAAATTTTGTTTATAAATCTAGTCTCCCTAACATTACTCTTAAAATTGGTATCAAATAGCTAAAAAAATTAAGAACCATATCAGAGTATGGTGTTAGTTAATCTCGTAACGATTCAAGACTTCCTCATTCTAAGTAAATATACATCTCATAGTCAAGGTTCTAAAAAGCGGTAAAGTGAGAGACCTAGGCGAATTTTAAATTGTAATTAAATTATTATAAAAAATAAAAACATATAAATAAGTCAACAATTGATTGAATACATAAAATGAAACATGTATTAAAAGTTATTTTACAAGAAAATTATCTTTAAACTCTTAATTGAAAATAATAAAACTGTCTAGACGCCTTCTAATTGCTGCCTAAACACTTCATCGATTTCTAAAACGCTTAAACCCTAATTGGAGCACTTTTGTAGTTTTCCTTTATTTAGATGGGAATATTTCAAGCTTAAAAGTTTATTTGTTTTATTTTGTTTCTATTTTTTTAAATTTGTTTTATTGATATTTGATCGATTGGAGGGGACATAGTGGAGACACAATAATGTAATACTTTTGATTGTCACGTAATTATAAGGCAAGAGACAGCTTCTTAATAATTTTATTAAATCAAATAATGTAAACAGATCATGTTAACCCATAAGAGAGCCCTAGGAAGCTTATTTTAATTGGACATAATTAACTAAATAATTTTATTATTATTATTAATTAATAATAAATTTAGTCTAATCTATTTGCTATGTAGACATACATAGTGAAGCTTAGCTGGATTTCATTACATTACTTCATTGTGAATTAGTTGTTGGGATACAAGCTTAGCTGTTTGGAATTCATTTATCATATTATTATATTTGTTTTTGCACATTCATTAAAAGAGAAACTCTACGGAGATTCTCTTTGGACTCTTTGTGGATTATCTGCCACTTCACAGTTTAACGTTAATTCTTGTGCCAACATTCCAAAATACTGTGCCAAAAACATGAGGTAGCAGAGAGTTAATAGAGCATCCTATTTTGAGAAGAGATGTTTCATATGCCTGAACTATAGTGTGGTATGATAGGATTAAAAGCACATCACAAAGTAGCACACAAATGTCCTATTAATTTTCCTTATTAACAATAATATTTGTCAATTGTAGCATATGAAAATAAGGGTCTTTCCCGCAAAAGATTGTTTTATCTAACTACTTAAAATGTCACAAAAACTGGGCTGCTGTCCCTACTAACCAGCCACCAAAAAATAATTATTAGACTGACTTACACTTATCTAAAGTCTACGAAATTTTATATGCAGATACTAGACACACAGAGCTACACTCACACAAATTTTTGGGATTTTTGGAGTTGATTTGCTATTTAAATTAAATCGAACAAAAACAGAACAGAGACAGATTTTAAATAGTTCGCAAATTAAGAAAAACAAGTTAGGGGAATTGCTATCCACCACCAAATAATCATGCAAACATGTTATGTTTCATTCAAATTCCTTTTATTTCCGGATGAAGATGCTCAAGTTGGCTCAATGTTAGAACTCAACCTACTACTCTTTCTTATGTAGTATGTTAAGAGAATGGCATTTTCAACTTAACTTAGTCCCTAACATGCAATCCAGAATGGCGTGTTCATAGGTTTAACAAGTAGAAATCATTAAGAACAAAAAGAGTTTGAGTCATCACAAGACATCGTAAGTACTGGCGTTGTCTTACTTATCCTAGAAATTGGTTCACATGTTAATCGCAATTAACAAGTACTACTCTAGAACATATGTAGGTCCTCATTTGACAAGGGCAGGCACACACATATTCATAGCATTAGAATCCTAGATATGCTTACTAAGTATGCATCCGTAGAAAACACATAAAGAATTCATCAATGAGACAAGTAGTGAATCAATTTTCATCCATTCATAAAAGTAATTCAAATGAAATATCATAACAAACTTGCAATCATATTCGGGGCTTCAAACAGCCCCTAACTAGTAACTACTAAAAATTTGGTTACACAATCCTTAAGTTAAAACAAAAGATAGATATGAGTTTGAGAAAATAGAACCGAAAGAAATCGACTAAGGCTTCTCCTTTCCTTCCTTCCCCAATGCTGCTTTTAAACCAATTCTTGCTGCATCATTTTCTTCTCCTTAACTCACCCACTAATAGCCATTTAGTGATGACAATAAGTGAGAGGAAATGGTGAAACAATTGTAACTCATTGGGTAGCCTTTATGCCAATAACTCCCTCTTAATCCTCATCTTTAATTCCATTTCCTCTGATATTTGAATAGGTGTTAGCTGGTTTGTTCTTGATTGCATCAGTTTTGGCTGCTAAATTTATTGGATTTATTGCTTTCAATGCTTTATTGTCAGTTACAAACTGCTCAGCCTCTTGAGAACCTTTCAGTGTTAAAACGGCCATAACTTATTCTAGAAAAATGATATTAACAATCCGCGAAATTCTCCAGAAAATAGACATCCGTAGCTTTCCAAGCATATAAGGCTCATTCTCTAATTCATTCTGAGCTGTCCGCAACTTGCTTCCAAAGTCAGCTGACCTGCACAGGCAGTTTTGACGAATTTGTTACTTAAAATTTCACTTGTGTTATTTTTCTTTTCTTTGCTTGACAAATCCTACAAAACACAAGAACAAAGTAAATAACTCAAAAATATAAGGAACTAACTAAGAAAAGGCAAGTGAATTTGATATAAAATATATATAAATATAAGCTTATCATGGTACACCACATATTTATGTTGTACTATCTAGTGTTTCGAGCATAGTAAAAAATTTCTTTATTTTGAAAGAGTCCCTGTAGCATTTCTCCAATTAAAAATTAGATGTGTCCCAAAGTACCAAGTGCACATAAAGTATGCTCTCGTTGACACATAAGTATTTCCTCCTAAATGAGATCTAGTCCAGATCTCTGTATTCAGAGTCTTCAGACTAAGAGATCTATACCGTTCAAAAGAAAGAAAGAGGTTCGGACCATTCAAGTTTTTGAATTTTTGTGAAGTGAGACAGTGAAATGGGCTAATGATGACCGTATAATTGAAATTAAGTAGTCCGAATCACTCTATTCGCCGGCTCGGGACACAAAAATTCAGTGCGGATCTCACTCCTTTCCCCCTTAATACAGTTCAAATTTCATACACCTTTACTTGAAATCTTTTGGTAGAGAGATCAAGTAGTCCTCTACTTCATAAAAGCAGGCCCCACTGGTTTTAAATCATAAAACTTGTTCACAGAAAAATGGGGAAAAAAAGTTAGGTCTGTTTGACTTATGTCCTGTCCATTCCTGATGTGGAAGTTTCAGCATGCATGCTGCCTCTTTCAGGAAAAAAAATGATGCTGAAGGTGAACTGACTCTGTTTTCCAACAATGTGTGGGATAATATAAATTATTATGATCATAATACACATGTAAATTCAATCAATTAGATAATACCCAAATGTATCAAACACATATATCAATAAATAAAGCAGTAAAAAAGGAAAAGGAAGAATGATTTGGCCTATGATATCAAGAGAGGCGTGTTGTCATTGTCCTAAATCGTAAACACCTCCTTACATGCCGGTTATAACGGCTATCTTATCTACAACTCTAAGATACAATCCTTGAATCTCACAGAGTGTCCAATCCATAAAAATTCAGTGTGGATCTCACTCCTTTCCCCCCTTAATGCAGTCCAAATTTCATGCACCTTTACTTAAAGTCTTTTGGTAGAGAGATCAAGTAGTCCTCTACTTCATAAAAGCAGGCCCCACTAGTTTTAAATTTTAATTCATAAAACTTGTACACAGAAAAATGGGGAAAAAAAGTTAGGTGTGTTTTACCTAAGTCCTGTCCATTCCTGATGTGGAAGTTTCAGCATGCACGCTGACTCTTTCAGAGAAAATTATGCTGAAGGTGAACTGACTCTGTTTTCCAACTATTTGTATCGTATGAATTCCAAAATCACATCACAAGAAACAACAAACGAGGAATGAGAAGGGAAAAGCAGAAAAATTCGATGGTGTTCTCGAGTATCTTATATTATCGAGTATTTTTAACGTTAATACTAGTCATTGTACATATTTAACTAAGGATCTAACCATTAAACACCGCTTGATATAAAATATTTTAGAGTATACTAGAAAATCCTGAAAAATACGTTATAATTAATTAGTGCCTACATGCTATAATAAAGCTAAGTATTCATAAGTGCACAAATTAGGGTGCGCAGCAGCAAATTATAGTGGTAAAAAAGCCTGCATTTTTTGTTTTCTTAGAGCATCTTCACCCGTTTTAGGAGGTAAGAGCAAGACAGTGAAATTACATTTACTATTCATTCTAAATAAGAGGCAAGTCTACCCGTTTAAGAAGAGAAAGGATAATGATGCTTACTATTCACCAAAATAATTTCTAATTCACAAAGATATGTAATTAATTTCAAGTTTGCTGAAAGGGCAGCAGCGCTAGGCCCAATCGTCCTCTAGTTTTTCCACAATTGGAGCAAATTTTTATGGGTTAGGGGCGATTCAACTCGATTGCAAGGGCAATTGAGGGATGGGTGGAGATACCCTTAGGTCAAGAAATTGACACGAGAAAAAGACATTTCTGGTCAAAGGCTGCAACAAAAGAAATGGAAGAGGATCCTCTTCGGATTCATTTTATGGGGATTTTAGATATCCTCACATTTTAATCGTTCATCATACATTATGCTATCAGTTTTTATCAGATACTATTTGTGTATAATTTTAAATAAAAAAAGTCAAATAATTTCTAGTTGTACGATACACGATAAATGGTTAAAATGTGAGAATTCTTAGGATCTTCACAAAGTGAATACGGATGGGATCCAATTCCAAAAGAAATGGCTGCCTATGTGGTAATGGTCCTGCTCTCTATGGCAGTGACTGGCATCGAGGAATGAATCGAATGATAGAAAGGAATATAGTTATTCAATATGTGATGTTATTAAGCTCTAAATTAGTGTCAAAGGTATGAAAATAATTACGATGCTCAACTTCAAATGACAAAAAGTTCTTCAATTTAATCGCAGGAGACATCGAAATGAAGATCAACCATGACGCCTAATGTAAACCTTTTTCGTTGCAGATCTCAATAACTTTCAAATGAATTCGAACGCAAAACTAATACGAACTAGAGAGAAACACACAACCAACAAGTATATGAAAATGATGATATGGGATTTGAGATAAAGAGGAACAAAATGAGGTAGAACTTTTCCTAAACGTCTAGTATTTCTTTAAACAGATATACACAACGATGCCATGCGATTCTGATCCGAATAGTTCATTTTTTACTAAAAATGATGAATACACAACATGTTTAACAATCAACTAACAACAAAAATTTGAGAATGGGTATGGAATTTATACGGTAAGAGATAACTGAGCGATTGGTGATGCACGTTAATCGTCAGGTTGTCTCACATCTCCTCCTGAAGCTGCCTCCACGCAACTTCAAGAATTGCACAAGAGGTTAAGTGGGAACATAATGTGCACCTTATCTTGTTTGTGTGGGGCAAATTATGCATATTTCCTCTATTGTCGCTACCACTAGATTCTTACGCTTTAATATGTGATTATAATTGAGCATCATTCACCTAATAATTTTGAGGTTGGAATGGAAAATTACACTCAATGGGATGCTCCATCACCACAATTTAAGGTGGACCCGGCTTCTCTGCCCTTCCAGTTCCTATACACTCTTATCCCTTCCTATTTTGTGCGGTCACGGTTAAACCATGTCAACATTTTATATTGATTTTTTTATAGAAATAATAAAACAAAAAACAATAGTGATATAAAATGTTGACGAGACTTAACCGTGACCGCACAAATAGAAGGGAATGAGAGTGTATGGGAATTGGGAGGGCAGAGAAGCCAGGTCCATTTAAGGTAATCACTAATCATAATTAATGTTCTATGGTACCCAAAAAAATGATTACAAGGTGTGAAATGCCAAAGAGACTCTCAAAACGGGACTCTCCAAGATTTTCTATGACCTCACAGTTTAACGTTAATTATTGTATTAACATTATAAAACATTGTGCAAAAAACACGAAGTGCAAAGAGTCTATAAAGAGTCTTACTTTTGAAAGAGGCTCATTTACATTTCTCATCCAAATTATGAAAAGTTGGGGAACCATATATTTAAAGGAAAACTAATTAAAATGACTTGAAAATTTTGAGTTTTACCAATAAGGACAAAATAAAGGATAAAGTGAATAGTATCATGATTGACTTTTTAGTGTAAAAATGTAATTTTTTGTTAAAGTGAACAGTACTGAAATCTTTTCGTTAAGTTCCCTATATTTAAGAGCATGGCCTCATCCTATGAGAGACAGAATTGGATGCCTCACAAAATCTTATATTGTTTCCTTCCCATGCTTTTGTTAAGTTTGAAATGCGTATCTATGTGACCGCTATGTTGTGAGACAATTTTATTTTATATTTTTATTTATTTATGCGTGTGATTCTTGTGCAGGAGTCATGTTAATATTCTCTGTACCAATTCAATCTTATTAGATACATCGCAAACTACTATTATAACACGTAAAATAATATGTTACGTAAAAAATGTTCCAGATACATCAAATTGATCCCTTGTGCCCTTTGATTGAAACTTTTATTAATTGCCCAACTATCCAGTTGCTGTGACATGAATTTTATTCAATTTCCCAGGACCATTGTTTTGTACATGTTTTTACGGTTTTTAATGAGTGGGTGTTAGTGAGTGGTGTTAAAAGGACAACTTGTCTTCATGTGAATTGGTCTTTCCTTCTTTCCTTCTTTCCTCACATGATAAAGTTCCAAATAGATTTTCATTTGGTTTAGGGTTTTCTTCCATGCCCATGATATAGCTGTTGTGACAAATTCAACCTTTTGAGAAGATGCGAATGTCTGATCCGGCTCTACGAAAAGATATTTCAAGAAAAGAGAAGCAAGCTTTTTAACTTAAAAGAAGTCCAAGTTTTTAGTTAGTTAAAAGAGATGTATAGGACGATGCAACCAGCAAGGTTGCGGGCACGAAATGCTGATCAAATCCATAAAAAGAAGCCTAATCAAAACAAGCAAACTAGAAGATCCAATTGAGTTGATGATGGACATTTTGTTGCCCTACTCATGATATAGTTCACTCTATCATTGGGAGTGTGACTGTGGGCATTTTACCGCCAACGCTCTCCATCCTTCAAAAAAGGAAACGATTGAATCATTGTGAGCTTGCTTAGTGGCATACAACTAGCTTGTTCGTGAATAAGAAAAAAAGGGCTATAGAAGCGCGATTTTGAAATATACAAAAGAAATGTGCTCTTTCTTTCTAAGGATTTATGTAAATTTATACGTCTCCTATGAATTTATACTTCTCAACTTCATACATTTTATCTTTATTTTATGCATATTAAGATGTTAAATGAAAATATTATTTTATAGTTTGCACCTATCAAGTTGTTAAATAATTTGATTCATTTGTGGTTTACATCAAATTAAATGTTCAACGTTCACTAATTTGGATCTTCTCCGGATCTCACTATCTGGAGCTTACGGATTATGGTATATGAGCCTTTGGTCTGTGTGAAAGAAAGATGAGTTGTTGATTTGTTCGACATGCATCAGCGAAAGGAACTAATAGAGATTGCCAAATTCAATTTGAGTGATCCTTAAGCTTGACCAAAAATATTAGTTTTGACATCAACCGTGGTAAATGAAATGAAATAGGTGATTTCATGTTTGTAGTTTGTACCATGATACTATCACACCAGTACGGACGCACGCACACATGCCGCGAGGGCCCACAACGTGCGTGTGCGTGAATTTTATTTTTCTTGGATCTGTTTTAATTAATTAAATATTATGCTTAAGTTTAATTAATTACACATGCTTATGTGATACCTGGATGGGATACAATCTGCATTTTATTCGAGCTTCCAAGGCCAATTATCAAGTAATTAATTATATGGTATTTAGTATTACGTGTGAAAACTTTGGAATTTTGAATTAATTTTATTGGATTTTATTCATCTGAAAATAAAATATATTGATATGGATTTTATTCATTTTTGGTTTAGCTTGATCTCGATTTTGTCAGAACACATTCTCTCGCTCCTCTACGAGTTGCTGCACGTCTAAATGAATATAACTATTATTGAATAAGATGATTGACAAAATGTCCTAAAGAGACTAAGTGAAGGTATGTAGCAAAGGGCAACTGGTTAAAGTGTCATGCGACTTCATCTTGCCTTTTAGGAGGAAAAATTCCTAAATCCGTGAATGCATATACACACCTATATATTGTTTAGTGAAACTTACACAACTACCATCTCGATCATAAGTCATGGTGCAATCTATCACTCAACAAAGTTGGGTCAATCTGCCAATTATAGAGGACTACATTGTTAGAGTTGTGGAATTGTTGATCCTTCTTGAATAGTCTGAATTATATCATTGAAAGCCGGTGTTACAAAGTTCGAAACAAATTCACCATCATATGGTTGAGCAATGATTATTAGCTATTATTGCTTCACGTAGGTGAGTTGCAATTTGAATTAAGGGCGAATTTTTAGAGTCTGCTTGCAAAATCGCAGTCATTTGTTTGAGCCAGTAGCACGTGTGTTGATGAATGGTCGTCATCTTCACCTTCCACATGATTTGTTGGTAATGAGGGCTTTTCAACCTAGGGTTTGGTTCTTTTCAATGATCTCAAATAACGATACGTAGGTTATTTGAAAGAAGAGTAAATTGTAGTAATGATTATTTAACTTTAACTTAATTTGAGTAATGGTCTCTCAACTAAAAATTCATTACCATTAGTCCATCAACTCATCAAAACGCGCAACTATGGTCACTCAACTATAAAAATCCATTACCATTAGTCCCTCAACTCATCAAAACGTGCAACTATAGTCCATCAACTAAAAATCCATTACCATTGGTCCTCAACTTTAATCCGACTAGATAAATGATCCCTTAACTTTAACCCAATTGGAGCAATATCCCTCAACTCTTAACCCAATCGTAGCAATGGTCCTTCTAACATAACTCATTTTAACAAAATTCTGACGAAGTTGACGAAAATGACCATAGCTACACGTTGTGATGAGTTAAGGGACCCCAATCATAGCAATGATCATTCTAACATAACTTATTTTGATAACATTCTGACGAACTTGACGAAAATAACCATAACTACACATTTTAATGCGTTGAGGGACCAATGATAATGAATTTTTAGTTGAGTAATTTGATTACAATTGAGAAATCATGACTACAATTTACTTTACAAGATTAATGACTGATGATTGAGCTTTGGTGTGTAGTCTTACGTGCCTAATCCCTTTGACGTGGGCCCAATTTAATGGGAAAGAACAGGTTCCATATTTTGCTTTGATCCGAATCAAAGTTACCATTATTTGCTGGGTTATGCTTTAAGCACATACCTAAACGTCATTTCACCTATAAATTAGTAATAAAGCACAATTAAAAAAATGGTAAAAAAATGAAATTGGGCCAGACCAAAGCCTTGAACCAACCCAACTTGACCTAGTTTGCGGCCTTTTGTTGCGGCTTTTTACCGTCTTTATCCGACCATAAAATCATCATCTTTCATTTCATTAGGTCACAAGTTGCAATCATGCACCTACGGCCCTACCTATCTACCCACCATCTTCTTACTTTCATCACCTTAAAATTATTCTTATACTTACTAATTATTCATGAAATGACCCACGTGCGTTACCCGAGTTGGTCAGAAGTTAATGTTTGTTCTTCGCACTTAAGTTATGTAATGGTTCAACTCATTTTCACTACTATGGTAAATAATTATTTGCAATTTATGGATTTTATATGACTTCTATGAATTATACGACTCAACTTCATAAATTTTATTTTTATTTTACGCTTGTTAAGATGTTAAATATGAAGATTATTATTTTATAGTTTACACCTATCAAGTTGTTAAATGATCTGATTCGTGTTGTGGTTTACATCAAATTAAATGCTCAACGTTCACTAATTTGGATCCTCTCCGGATCTTACTATTTGGAACCTAAGGACCATATAATATGAGCCTTTGGTTTGTGTGAAAAAGAGACGAGTTCTTAATTTGTGTGACTTGCATCAAAAAAATGAACTAATAATGATCGTTAAATTCAATTTTAGTGATTCTCAAAGTTGACCAAAAATATTAGTATTGACATCAACCGTGGTAAATGAAATGAAATAGGTGATTTCATGTTTGTAGTTTGTACCGTGATACCGTCACACCAGTACGGACGCATGCACACATGCCGCGAGGGCCCACAACGTGCGTGTGTGCGTGAATTTTATTTTTCTTGGATCCGTTTTAATTAATTAATTATTATGCTTAAGTTTAATTAATTGCACATGCTTATGTGATACCTGGATGGGATACAATCTGCATTTTATTCGGGCTTCCAAGGCCAATTATCAAGTAATTAATTATATGGTATTTAGTGTTACGTGTGAAAACTTTGGAGTTTTGAATTAATTTTATTGGATTTTATTCATCTGAAAAAATATATATTGATATGGATTTTATTCATTTTTGTTTAGCTTGATCTCCATTTTGTTAGAACACATTCTCTCGCTCCTCTGCGTGTTGCTGCACGTCTAAATGAATATAACTATTATTGAATAAGATGATTGACAAAATGTCCTAAAGAGACTAAGTGAAGGTATGTAGTCAAGGCCAACTAGTTAAAGTGTCCTGCAACTTCATCTTGCCTTTTAGGAGGAAAAATTCCTAAATCCGTGAATGCATCTACACGCCTATATATTGTTTAGTGAAAATTACACGACAACCATCTCGATCATAAGTCATGGTGCAATCTATCACTAAACAAAGCTGGGTCAATTTGCCAGTTATAGAGGACTACATTATTAGAGTTGCAGAATTGTTGATCCTTCTTGAATAGTTTGAATTATATCATTGAAAGCCGGTGTTACAAAGTTCGAAACAAATTCACCATCATATGGTTGAGCAATGGTTATTAGCTATTATTGCTTAAGCGTAGGTGAGTTGCAATTTGAATTGAGGGCGAATTTTTAGAGTTTGCTTGCAGGATCGTGGCCCTTTGTTTGAGCCTGTAGCACGTGTGTTGATGAATGGTTGTCATCCTCACCTTCCTCATGATTTGTTGGTAACAAAGGCTTTTCAACTTAGGGTTTGGTTCTTTTCAATGCTCTAAAATAACGATAAGTAGGTTATTTGAAAGAAGAATAAATTGTAGCAATAATCTTTTAACTTTAATTAATTGGAGCAATAATCATTCAACTAAAAATTCATTACCATTAGTCCCTCAACTCATCAAAACGTACAACTATAATCCCTCAACTAAAAATCCATTACCATTGGTCTTCAACTTTAATCCGACTAGATAAATGTTCCCTTATTTTAACCCAATTATAGCAATGATCCTTTCAACATAACTCGTTTTAACAAAATTGTGACGAAGTTGATGAAAATGACCATAGCTACACGTTGTGATAAGTTGAGGAACCCCAATTGTAGCAATGATCCTTTTAACA